ATTTCAGATGGGCCCAATTTTCTCGGTTCGTCTATCTCGAAAGCGGCGGTGGGGATGGCGGGGAAATTCGCCGGCGGCCGAACGAGGCTGGCAGAGAGGCAGGTGTTGGGCTATTTTGGCTCTTGTTATTCTTGCAACAGAGCAATTTTTATTTCCTCCAAAATTTCGATCTGAAAGTGAAATTGCGATAAAAATTGAGAAGGGCGAAGGAATGGGGCTGAAGTTGGGTGAATTTGCACAGAAAATTTGGTGTAGGGAGGGGCGGCGGATTGGGGCTGGGGTTGGTGGGATTGGGTAGAGGCTGACGATGAAGCAACAGTCGTAACACTATGTTGTGGGCAAATTCTGGAAATTGAATTTCGAATGAAGGGTAGAAAAGTAATTTCAATCTACAGAATATAATTATCAACTATAAACCAAACAAGTTAATATAATTTCAGCCTTTGATTTTACATGCTCAATCACGCTCTACCAACCAAACCCACCATTAGTAAATGAGGTCTGGTAGGAAGATATACTATCTTGACTTCATGGGACATAATCACGTGTAATCAGACATAATCACGTATAATCAAAACTTTGTACATATAGGACGGGCCATAACTACATGAGCAAATGCATGATAGGTGGATAGTAAAGCTTTTTATCCCAATAAGATCAAACACAAGTTACTTTTTGTAACTAATCCCTCTCTCATTTTGAAAAACCAAAAATACTTGAAAAGATGCCATCAAAGGAAAAGTAAAAGGAAAAACCAAACAGAAACTTAAAAATATTCGAAAATAAGTTATCAAGGGAAAAAGTTGTCGAAAACAAGGAAGTCATCTCTAATAGTGACGACCTGATTCTCTCAACAAAACATTCAAAATGTATTATTAACATCAAGTTCATCGGCACGTCTACATATCGATACTCAGCGCACCCCCTTCTGCTCCTTTTTAAGTTGTAAATAAATAAATTGTGATGAGACAACTTAACTCGAGTTTCGGCGCCTTTTACATGTATGATAAAATGTTAAATCCGCAAATCCACAATCGTAACAAAAAGTGCATCCACATCTGCAATAAATACATCGATCGAATGAGGATGGACAAAATTAGCTTGGAGTTCAAAATAAAATTTTATCAAGCAAAACCGTAAAGTAACTAGAAACATATTGACACTTTAAAAGCAAACAATATGGGTGTAAACAACTGGCACACCAGGTTCAAAACAGAGATTGCAGCAGCCTCTTGTTACCATATAACGAAACATGTAACTACAACATAGGTTAATTTGGTTGAATTCCATTAGACAGTGATTGTTCGAGACTCGAGACTCTAATGCACATTCTTATATTTCTCGCTATTGCCTAGCAATCTTAGCTCTGATTATAATTATGGTCATTGAGCAAAAACCCCGCAACACGTGAACACAAAATCAACCTATACAACAACAATTCACATACGAGCGCGCGAGCACGCACATATAAGGTCGAGTTCTAAAGATCATAAATAATAAGTCACTATATAGATATAAGGTTGAGTTCCATGATCAGAAATGATAGATTTAAGTTACCACACCATAGTGTAACCAAACATCCGCATGAATATTAACGAAATTGCGAAAAAAGTATGGACAATTGTATCATNACTGAACATATCTCATGATAATATTCATTTTCACTCACAGGTAGTAGTCATTCTATATGCACACACATAATACATGCAAGCCATTAAACACCAAACACTTCACATCCACATAATTAAAATGTCAATCAAATGCTGAAAATCAATAAGCAAAGCTCGGAAAAGTTCGAGAATAAACCAAACCTGCAAGTGACACGATAGCAACCTTTAACTTTCTGGATGTAAATACTGCAACGTGGACACCTCATCCATTTCATGCTCTTAGCAAGATTCATCAGCAATAGATCCTCACGACTCCTCTCCCCCTCCTTCAGCCCTTTGAACTCATCGCAAGTGATGCCCACGTGCCAAGGCAGCCGACACTTTGCGCAAAAATACCTTCTACAGTAAAAGCACAGAGATGCAGCAGCATTCACTTCACTTTTGCCCTTACTCTCACAAAACTTCTCACAAAACAAGAGGGCCGAGCAATCTTTAAACGGGCAATAGATATTCCCCGTATCCAAGATAGCGGCCTCACGCAATGTGTACTCCCACCGGTCAAAAACCTGCTCGGGCAATATCGATCGGCAGTGTTGAGGCTCGAGCAAGCCATTGCAAGCGGGAACGGGGCATTTAATGGAGACAATGTTGTCCTCCAGCTTTGAGCCCACGTATCTTATCACGCAGTCGGCACAGTACGAGTGATGGCAGCCCAAAATGCGAAAACTTTCTCCATTAGGTTTTTCGTCGGCACAGATTCCGCACATGAACGTCGAGCAGGGGACCGGTTTGGTGTCATCCTCTGGCTCTGGACGCGACCACTCGCCTATGCGGAAAACCTTTTTCAGGAATTTGAGGAAAGAGGGAAGAACTTTAACCTCGCCGTCGCCGGAATAAGAGCTTCGGGATAAACCGATGTTTTCCTTTTTGGTTTTAGGACAGAAATTTTCGATTGGGATGGCGTCTGGCTTGTTGGCGGCGGCGGCCGCCGGAATTTGGACGGTTTTCGATGCTTTAAGCGCCATTTGCAAGGTCGCGACGACTGATCCGCCACTTGATTCTCTTCGGGAAGGTGATGAGGCGAGATTATATAGGGAGTCTCCATTTTGATAGAATTGTTCGCTAGTGGATTTTTGGATTTGGTTACGGTGTATCTGCAATTATCCATTGCAGAGTTCTGCGGCATTGGGAGGTTTAGTTAAGGCTATGTTTGGTTTAAAGCGTGTTGGAGGATTTTTTGAAGTGAAAGTTTTTTTTCCCAAAACGATAGATTATATTATAAATTAAAATGTACAAATGTGTGAATACACAGCAGCCAACGACTGAATATACAGCAGTCAACAACTGAAAAAGTGGGAGGACAGGTGAGAAGACTGCCTAGAGTGCCGGCTAGCAACGCTAGAATAAAACTCGCAACTAAAACTAACCAACTAAAACGACTAAACAACTAACAACAACTAAAAAATTACTAACAGAGCAATATCGAGTGTCGGATCCCATTGGGAAAATAAGGTGACACTCGGGTTCACAGAGGCCAAACGGCCCAAATCAAAAACACCAACATCAGCTACACAGACACGAACACAAAGAGAACTAAGACAAAAGGTCCTAAATAAACAAACAAACAAGGCCCTTCCCCAACGGGGAAGCCGAACCAAGCACAATGCTCCAGCGAAATACGACCCATCCCATAGCTTGACCCAAACATCCATAACGCTACTCCCGCCATTGCCTAATGCCTGGCAAGGACGAGTCTCAAACATTGAACCACTCCAAGGATGAAATCGACCCATAGCCAGAGGAGTATCGACCATCCCTCCACACTCCAGCTACCGGAGACCCGGCCAACACCACTGACCTAGGTTCGGGCGTGCCGACATCCCAAAACCGCAACACCAGCGGAACAGGGACCCAAGAGCAAAAATCAATCCACCTCAACCACCGGCCGCCGCGACTCAGACGAGCCGAGTGCCAGGCCACACACAACCCCCAGCCGCGCACCACCTTGCAGCAGTCAAACCCAAAACGGAGGAGAGAGATAAAGTAAAATAAAAAAACCCTTATTGATCAAATAAGGAGGNAATAAAAACTTATATATATATATATAGGGAGTGGTTCAAATAAAAATTAGTCCTGGTGTGAGAACCGTGAGAACCGTATTTGAAGTTATTTTTTATTATGTATGATGCTATTTTTGATATCACGTGGTGTTATCATTTTCACAAATGTTAATATAAATTGTGTTGCTATTTTTTATAAAATTCATCCTGCTTAAAAATAGCACTAAAACAAATTAATCATAGCACTTCATACGATTAATAATAGCGGTTCTCACGGTTCTCACGTTAAGACTTGGTTCTCATTTGAACCACATCCTATATATATATATATATATATATATATACATATAACAACTAAAAAATATGGACAGAATAATAATTCCATAGGGCGTGATCGGCTACATATTAAAACCGATTTTGACCTATCGATAAATTTTTATACTTTTTAACTCTAAATTTAATTCAAATTTAATCGAACATAATTCTCTTCAATATTATTAATATAATTAAATAATATTAATCAATTATTTTCCACATCACATCAACTTAATTCAGTATTCATCAACTCATATATTTTGAATTGTTTATCATTTTCAATAACATTTCTCATACTTTTACATCACATTTTAAATATTATGTAAATACAAACTTAAAATCTCACTCAATCCTCTACTCAATTAACTTTGTTTTATAAAAACACGCTTTAACTCAAAATCCAATCGCAATCGGTATTGATTATACACAATCCAGCTTTTAGAGGGGAATGGAAATGAAGGAGGTGAGGAGAGGTTTTTGTTAAAAACTTTCCTTCCTTTATATGGTACCGGGAATCATGTTGGATCACATTGAAGGGAACTACGACATTATAGACAATGGTTCTTTGGTGATGGGTCGTTACCGGTGTAGGGTTGACAACATCCATGGGATGAAGGGGTTGCAAGGGCTTTCATTGACAACAATGCCATTACCGCAGGGCATACTTGCACCTTCACCCTCAAGCTAGAAGAACCCATCACTTGCGAGATTGTAATGGAATGATTGTGTCTTTAGCCTCGTCCAAAGCAATACCAGTACAAAGTAATCACCTTTTGTTGAAGCAGGGGCAATTCTATTTTGATTGTTCTAGTAGGGTGTTGAATGGAATGTTTCGGTCATGACATGAACTACTTGTTTTGCTAATACTTGTGGATGTTTTTGAAGTGGTTGTGAACTAAGACAAACTTGTACGCTTGTGGTTGATGAATTGAGTTTTCTTTTTCAAGTGAAGGTCCTTTTTTTATGCATTGGTTCAGGAACAAAATTGTGATGTATGTTTGTTCACTGTTGCTTTAATTAATGATCAAATGCAGTTGTTTGTTCATATAATGTGGGATATTCAAGTGATATAGTCTAGTGATAATAATTGTTTTTAGTTAATTTGATATACTAGTTAGTCATTTGGGATGCATGGTAATGATCAAATGCAATTTGCAAAAGCATTCTCTTATGTAAATTAGTCCAACATGGAGACTAATAACACAACTAAATGATTGCACTTAATACATTGAAACACTGGATGCCTATAAGGATTCGTACCAAACATAAATTTCAATGCATTAGACAAAACACACAAGCATGTTAGTACACCATATCTGCAAAAGGAATAAACACATTAAATTAAGTGAGTGAGTGAAGATTCATGTCCGACACCAACCAAATTAACTATGACAAGTTAAAGTCAACGTTTCTCACTGAAGACAAATCTAAAACTATGTTGTTTTCCTTTCAAACTATCAACATCAATATTGCTTTTGTTTGTGGCACTAAGCGGTCGTTAACACTATTTGATCGCTGTAGATCCTTTTTTCACCAACTTCTCGAAAAATCCTTTTTAAATGACCCTAAAAGGGGTCCTTCACAGCCATGTACGTCAAATTTAAAGGTTCATCCTGCAAGCATCAACGTTACGCAAAGAAGAGAATTTAATCTGAAGAAAACACATAAAAAAACACGATTGTAGGGGAAAAGATCTTCATTGGATGCTCAAGCTATGGAAAAAGCCCAAGTCGAACATCATAAGCATACAAACACATAACAATCTATTCCATGATTGAGGACGTCCCCACAAAATACCGTTTTCAGAACAATACTTGACACCATAGTTTGTTATCATCTCGCACATCACCCTATGTCTTCTGTTTGCAGTTGCTATAACCTATACTCACACTCATCGAAACTAAAATTTCTACCGAACTCAAAAGTCAGCTTATCCACACATAATGTAAACAAAGAGTATTCATTCGAATTGCGTACGCTATGAATCAAACACATCCTTTCATTAGCTACAATCAACAAATCTATAACAAAAAGTTCAACTTTCAGGCTCCATTTGTCACTACAACTGTTTTTGCTCCTATGGTATGATGCCTTCCATACCTATTTTGGGGATTTATTGGACACCAAAAAACTCTCAAAATTTTTATTTGTTTTCGGACACATCAAACATTACACCAAACTAACTCAACAAACTACACTATTGCATGTTCAAAATGGAATCAGAAAACCTCGTCTACAAATGTGTAGACAAATATACAGAGGTAAGACCACCCACACCAAACCAAATAGAAAAGTAGTTATGTAATATCAACACAATTCTAACCCATACAGAAGAACCCAAATTCTGTATTTATTGGCAAACCAACAATACAAACAGGAAAACAAGAATGGCAAGCAGAAGAACCCACACATAAGAGATCCCAATAGAGTGAGCACCAAGCAGCAAGATAACAATACTAACATAAGAAGAATAAAGTACCAGAAAGCATAAACCATAAATCAAAGATGCAAGGCTACTGTTCAAAACACAGAAAGAGAACACTGATTCGTAGCACATGCAGGTCACCATAACGACAACAAAAGAAATGACAATAAAGCAAAATTTTGTTCAACTATTCTGCAATTATCAGAAATACAGTAATCACAAACAATGTAGGAAAGAAACTACAACTTCACTATGGATCATACTTTGCGACACATGTAACTCCATATCACATGATTTCAGTGTTTGTCAAAGACATGGAGGCAACAGTACACATACTAATTTTTACAAACATGGAATTCAAACTGAACAACTTGTAAAGCATATTCATAATATAGGTGTTGATATCCGAGCAGAACAACAGATCATAAATAAGAAAAATCTGCGGTAAGTACTTAATACTGATTCTAGGCCGATGGATCGACCCCAGGAACTAGCGCAGCAGCATCCTTAAGGCGAAGGAAACAGTATGGTGCTAGACGGACTGATCTACGCATTACAGGTGAAAATAATAAAATAAACTCCACTTCTGCCCAAATGATGACGGATGGGACGTCATCGCCTTATCACTGCAAGCCTATCGGCCTTAGTTATCTATGGCCTAGCGTAACATTAAATGCGCCCCATTCTCATGATGACCCAGTGAATAGTAACCGAGAGTCACTTACTAAAAATAGCGTACGAGAAATCCTATAAAAATATAGTTGAAATTCTGGCAATAAAAGAGACAAATAATCTTATATTCAATGTCATATTAAATATGCCGTCAGGCTAAAAAAAAACCCACATTGACCGACTTGGTTTATTGTAATACTATTACGTTCGCCTTTCACATTTCCTCTCATGTCCGTCCGATTCCTTCCCGAAAACGTCCAAGTTTAGCATATTCAACTACAGTTAAATCCACGTAAAACACTCTTAACTCATTAGTCAAATCCACTTGACAACAATAGGTCTATGCATCTGATTAGGCAGCAATTTCAATAAATTCATTCCTAAATTAGGGCATCACCAATCAGTTGAAAAAGCAAGCAACAAACTTATGTTTAGAATCCCTCTGATATGATTCAATTTTCAAATAGAAGCCCTCGAATTGTTCAATCGGTCGTTGGGCCGATGTAGTGGTGGCTCTTCTCCGATCACATAGCAAAATTTGGGGAAAAATGGGGATGTGATTGAGATTGTGCATCTGGGGCTCGATGAAATTTGGGGGGAGGGGGTGGACAAGTGTAGATTTCTCATTTGGATCATATCATATAAAGCAATATGTTTCAGTAAATACGCAATTATTTTTAAGAGATCACGCATCATGTAATATAAACCTAGGATATAAATCAACATTGAACATTACACGTGGATTGACAGTACAATCCCGTCAGTCTTAGAAAGGCCAAGTTGGATTATTATTTGTTGTTTACAAGATAGGATCTATCTTTAACCAAATAGTCATGCATTTACTACACATAATTAAATTTTATGATTGTGTTGAAAATGACAAATCTAGCAATTATTACAACCAATCAACCAAAAAAGAAGAAGAGGGATATTTTCCTCAAAACATTCGACTACAACCACGATAATATTTCCAAATTCAAGTCTAAGTTGATCGATGACCAGCGAACTCCAAAATCAAATTCATATCAGGTCACCAAAAATGAAGACGAAATTGTCGTCTGATTGATATACTATTTTGATGGGGATCAGACGGGGAGGTTCGCAACCGAATTCCCAAAACTGAAATTGAAGCTAAAGATGTGGGACGGATCTGAGATTGGTGAGAATGAGGGGACAAAGAGCAAGTAGAAGTTTAAATAACGTATCAGAAAAGACATTGCAAGTCATCCCAATGCCATTGTTACTGATGGTAGACCTAACATTAAGCAATGAACCGAGAAGACATTATTCACTACATAACCCAAATGGTAAAACTATAAAAATCTCAAAGCATTTCACATAGATATTATTCATTTAAAAAGAAAACCATGTACACTCTTGGATAAAGCAACTCCAGTTTTGGGAAAACTTGTAGCAATAGTTGCTACTGATGCATCAGTTATCCCTGATTGTAGAACAAGAGACAACATCCGCAAACCCCTAATTTTGCCGAAGCAGATAAAATATTGATAAGAAACTTAGATCATAGAATTGGAAATTAAATTCACTTATCATGAAGATAAACATCAACCGCAATTTTGTGGCAGAGAGGATAATGCCACATCATGTGAGAGCAAAACTGAGGCAATACGGATGTTCTGAAGATTAGGGTAGCTTCTTCCAAATGCATCCATAACAGTTCTAAGGTCAGTGCTATCATTTTCTTGTCAAGAAAAGTCGAAGGAGAGTAGAGAGACTAGTTGAAGACAATATAAGACCCCCAAGATTACAACAACCTTCCATCTTGAGACTGGTTAGGCATCTATTATCGATAATAAAACGACTCAACTCATCCCTGGATGAGTTTGTACACATTAATTAATTTCACTCCATGATAAATGCAACATATCGAGTTATCGTAATGCACAATGGACCAGTTGTATAAATGGAGATACTAAAATCTTAGAATGACTACTAATGTGCCAATATGGAACATAAGCCAATTAGGTTGGACTTGAAACCTTGAAACCAGGAGGATGCTGCAAATTATATATTAACATATGAACTTCAACAACCAAGGAGATACATCATCATCTCTATTCTCATACTTAATGACGAAACTAATTTCAAGCCTCTGAAAAAATTGATGTAATACAATCAAACACAAGAGCATCATAAACTTCTATTACATGCAGAAAAATAGGAAAAATAGCCAATTATTGTTAAGAAAACAAAATTATATCTACATTGCTAACATAAACAACCATCACGTATAGATTTATATCAAGGAGTCAAAATTGCTACCCTAATAGAGGAATTTGGGCACGAGAAGGCAATGCATGCTAACATTGTTGCATCAACATCCATGCAAAACTAAAAGCAATTTACTTATCGTTAGACGAAAAACAGCTTATATTGTTAATCAAAATTCATCAAGTTCCTGAGCATGTGAAAAACCTCAAATTAAAAAGATCAATTTTATGATGCACGCGCACCGCGCCAGTGACATTAAGAACGTCGCCGCCATGGTCGTACCCACCCACCGAGCCAGCACATCCACTTTCACGTAGTACGACATTTACCAGGGCATTTTAGGGACACAAATGTAATTTCAAACTTGGAAGTTGTGGGATTAAAAATATCCCAGCTCCAGGCCAGGATGAAAAATATCAACCTTTAGGGGATTAGCACGTGGGCCTCCACAGTCCACATCACACGTAGGCCTAATCCCATTTTCCATCAAGGTAAATAAACATTGGATAAAGTTGGATATCTGGGTTTATCATATCTCATCACCTTTAGTAAATGAGGCCTAGTAGGAATATATACTATCCTGACTTTGGATAAAGTTGGATATCTGGGTTTATCATATCTCATCACCTTTAGTAAATGAGGCCTAGTAGGAATATATACTATCCTGACTTCATGGGACATAATTACGTGAAATCACAACTCTGCATATATAGGACGGGCCATAACTGGATGCCATCCTAGCATATATAACAAATTAGGCCTAATAAGATCAAACACAAGTTACTTTTAGTAACTAATATCCCTCTCTCATTTTGAAAACGAAATATAATGGAAAAAGATGCCAACAAAGGAAAAGTTAAAGAAAAAAACAAACAGAACTTAAAATATTCAAAAAGAATTTATCAAGGAAAATGTTGTCGAAAACCAGGAAGTCATCTCTAATAGTGACAACCTGATTCTCTCAAAAAAACATTCAAAATTCATTATTAACATAAAGTTCATCGGCACGTCTACTATCTATACTCAGCATACCACCTTCTGCTCCTTTTAAGTTGTGAATTGTGATGAGACAATCAACTCAAGAGTTGGCGCTTGTTGCATGCATCTGCAGCTCCACAACAGTAACAAAAAGTGCAACGACACCTGCAATAAATATATCGATCGAATGAGGGTGGACAAAATTAGCATGCTATTCAAAATAAGTTCTATCAAGCAAAACCGTAAAGTAACTAGAAACATATTGGCACTTCAAAAGCAAACAATATGGGTGTAGACAACTGGCATAGTTTGAAAATACCAGGTTCAAAACAGACTGCAGCCTCTTGTTCCCGTATAACGAAACATGTAACTACAACATAGGTTAATTTGGTTGAAAACCACTAGTACGTACCCCGTGCGATGCACGGAAAATAGATATTAAATGAGTTATTTTCACAAACTTTGTCCATTTAAGTCTAAAAAGTAATAGAGTTATCATTTATTTTTCACTTCTTTTAATCAGCGTTAAGTCTTAACAAAACAATAGGGTAATAATCTATTTTCTATCTCTTTTAATCAACTTTTTTTTTAATCAGAACATTAAATATGAACATGTTAGGTCTAATTTGTAAGATATTTAATATATTATCTCACTAACGCATTTATACTAATATAAATTTGATTTTATATATATTTATTCCTTGATATAAGAGAAATAACAGTTTCACTTATTCGTGTTCACCATATAATACTTGATTATTATTTTACTATAAACTTCGTTGTCATATAATGTCATTATTATTTATAAAAGTTATAGAAGTTGTAAGTCTTCTTTTTTTCTTTTTTATATTATGTAATGAAAAATATTTAATGCACATTAGTATTATTTTTTTCTGTAATCAATTAAAAATATGTGATTAAAATTAAAATTAAATAGTGTATAAATATTTTATAAAATATACACACATGTTTTTTTAGAATTTAATTTTGTATATTAATTAAAATTAAAATTAAATAGTGTATAAATATTTTATAAAATATACACACATGTTTTTTTAGAATTTAATTTTATATATTAATTAAACAACTTTGATTTAGCAAATGTCAAAAACTGAATCCCTTTATAATCAAGATTTTTCTAATTTTGTTTATAAGTATTTATAATTTATTTAGCATACTCTGCAATGAAAATATATTTTACAATAATTTCATTATAGAAAGAAATTAAAATAATAAAAAATGATAAAAAAAAAAAATAACTGTTGCCAATAATATATAAATAAAATTCTAAAGAACATTTAATATATTTCAAATTTATTTTTTGACCATTAGTAAAACTATTTAATATATTTAGTCATTATCTCTTAAATGATAAATTATATTAATTTGAAGAACAATTTATTTTTTATATATAAACGAAAGAAAACTTAAGACAAAATTATATTGGCAAAAATTAATTCACCAACTTAATTTCGCCTAATTAATTGGAAGAAAAAATTCTACCTAACATGTTACGATTTTCTATAAATATTTTTTGATAAAAAGTGAATGTTTGTGAAAAAGAAATTAATATTATGGTTAGAACTTAAAATATGTTATAATATTTATCTTGACCAAAATATTATCAACATGAATCACGGAAAATCAATCTTGTAATTTATTATAATGAATATCAATGAAATTACTGCAGATATTAATAAAATTATTTAAGACAACAATATTTTTTATCATATATGATTTAATCTTATAATGGAGCTGGAAGAGTCATTGTTGACAATTCTCATGGCATAGTGCTAATAATGGACTAGATCAAAATGGCTCAATTAAATTCTAGTGCTTCTTCTATTAGTGAAGTTTCTAGAAAAAAAAAATATATCAAACGGCGCAATGCACCTTGGGTCGCTACGGAAACAGCTTCCTTGTATAATTACAAGGGTGTTGTTGTTGTTGTTGTTGTTGTTGTATATGATTTAATTTTATTTGAAAACGTGTATATGGAAACAATTAATGCATATATTTAAAAAGTTTCCAAAAAAGGGCATTAAATACTCCCAAAAAATTTTACTATTATTTTTATTTTTAGTAAATGGTTATTCTTATTATATATAAATATATATATATATATATATTAGAAGGTGATTGTTCAAGACTCACGACTAATGAACATTCTTATATTTCTCTCTATTGCCCTAGCAATCTTAGCTCTGATTATAATTGTGGTCATTGAGCAAAAACCCCCCAACATGTGAACACAAATTCAACCTATAAAACAACAATGCACATACGAGATCGCACGCACATATAAGGTTAAGTTCCAATGATCAGAAACAATAAGTTACTATATACATATAGTTGAGTTCCATGAAAAGAAATGATGATAAGTTACTACACAATAGTGTTACTAAACATCCACATGAATATTAACAAAATTGTATCATTATCATGTAAAAAAAAAAAAAAATAAATAAATAAAAAATACTGAACATATCTCATGATAATATTCATTTTCACTCACAAGTAGTAGTCAGTCTATATGCACACACATAATACATGCAAGCCATTAAACACCGAACACTTCACATCCACACAATTAAAATACCAATCAATTGCTGAAAAATCAATAAACAAAGCTTGGAAAAGTTCGAGAATAAATCAAACCTGCAAGTAACAAAAGAGCAACCGCTAATTTTCTGGATGTAAACACTGCAACGTGGACATCTCATCCATTTCTTCCTCTTAGCAAGGTTCATCAGCAATAGATCTTCAGGACTCCTCTCCCCCTCCTTCAGCCCCTTGAACTTGTCGCAAGTGAGGCCCAAGTGCCAAGGCAGCCTACACTTTGCGCAAAAATCCCTTTTACAATAAGAGCACAGAGATGCAGCAGCATTCACTTCATTTTTGCCCTTCCTCTCACAAAACAAGAGGGCCGAGCAATCTTTAAACGGGCAATAGAATTTCTCCATATCCAAGTTAGCGGCCTCACACAATGCGTATCCCCACTGGTAAAAACCCTGCTCTGGCAATATCGACCGGCAATGTTGAGGCTCCAGAAAACCATTGCAACCGGCAACAGGGCAATTAATGGAGACAATGTTGTCCTCTAGCTTTGAGACCACGTATCTTATCACGCAGTCGGCACAGTACGAGTGATGGCAGCCCAAAATGCGAAAACTTTCTCCATTAGGTTTTTCGTCGGCACAGATTTCGCACATGAAAGTCGAGCAGGGGACCAGTTTGGTGTTATCCTCTGGTTCTGGACGCAAGCACTCGCCTCTGCGGAAAACCTTTTTCAGGAATTTGAGGAAAGAGGGAAGAACTTTAACCTCGCCGTCGCCGGAATAAGGGCTTCGGGATAAACCGATATTTTTCTTTTTGAGTTTAGGGCGGAAATTTTCGATTGGGGTGGCGTTGGGCTTGTTGGCGGCGGCGGCCGCCGGAATTTTGACGGTTTTCGAAGCTTTAGGCGCCATTTGCAAGGTCGCGACGACTGAACCGCCACTTGATTCTCCTCGGGAAGGTGATGAGGCGAGATTTTATAGGGGGTCTCCATTTTGATAGAGTTGTTCGTTAGTGGATTTTGGGATTTGGTTACGGTGTATCTGCAATTATCAATTGCAGAGTCCTGCGGCTTTGGGAGGTTATTTTAAGGGTATATTTGGTTTAAAACGTGAGGAGGAAGGAGAGGGAAAGTTTTGTTGGAGGATTTTTTAGAGTGAGTGGTAAACCTAACTATTGGGAGGAAAAATAAAGTAAAATAAAAACCCTTATACGATGTAGGGGTGAGTGAGCATAGGCCGATACAATTTGAAGATAGAGAAATCTTTAGAACCGTAATAAAATTTGCAGATCACTAAATTTGATCTTCGGAACCGTACCAAAAAATTAGGATAATTCGGTACGAAGATTTTTATTTTTCGATTAGGTTCGATATTCGAGACTATCGGAACAGTTCAGTTCGTTATTATTATGTTCAGATCTTCGAAGATTTCTTATATTTTTTTAAATAATTTGATTGACTACCCTTTATTTTAAAATCAACTTTAGAAGTAACTCTAAATTTTAATTATTTAATTTTTATATGCTTTAAAAAAACCAACATTCATCGATACTTCCTCATATTAAAGATTTTATTTTGAAATCAACTTTAGGAGTATCTCTAAATTTTAGTTAATACTAAATTTGTGCAACTAATATTGAAAATTTAAAATTCAAACAAAATATAATATTGTTTTTGTTTAAAAAAAATTAGTTTTTAACCTTTCATACCATTTTAAATATTTTTTATAACAGAAAAAAATCAATTGTAGATCAAGTATTACTAAGTATAAAATTAAAGTGAAGCTTAATTGTTATTACTATATTTTATTTACATTTTAAAAATTCTAGGATCAAAGTTGACATAAAATATATTAATAACACACATCTAATGTTATAATTCGGTTCTTCGTTTCGTTATGGTTCAGTTCGGTTCAGTTCGCGGTATGTATATATGTAGAATTTTCAGAACCGTACCAATTAATTTTTTCGGTTCAGTTTGGTTCGGAGAAAATCAAACTGTCAACAGTTATTTCTCGGTTCAGAGTGATTTCGGTTCAGTTGTTGGAACGGTTCAGAATTTTTCGAGTCCCATGATAACTAAAAATACGGGCAGAATAATAATTCTATGAGGCATTTAGACATGTTAAACGGGCTAACCCTAACGGTTTCGGGCTAAATGGTCTGGGCTTAAAAAGCTCGAATTTAAACAGGTTACCAATAAAAGGACCTTAACCGAACACTAGCAGATCTCGGGCTAAACGGGTTATACGGGCTACAATAATAATAATATATAACTAAAAGGTTGGTTAACGATTGTTTCCAACAACTGTTTAGTATTTACCGCGCTATATATACAACTACACTTCATATATGAACACACATTACAAACACTTAAATAACATTTTTTTTTCTCAAAATAAATAAATGTTTGAACTATTACTTATAATTACCATTTTACTAATTATTCTGTAAGTTTTAGGAATTTTCCAATATTGTATCATAGTGCTGAACTTATATTCTATCATTATATTTATGTTTTATGTCTTTGTATCGTGTGTTTCCCATTAGCCGTTTTGTTTGGCTTAATTTTTTTTGTGTGAAGTAGAATAACAAAATTGTTAATAATTATTTTTCAAGATCATAATAATCTATCACATTTCATACTTATATATGAAGTAGAATAGCAAAATTAATATATAAGGAATCTTGGGGCATATTCCTTACCTGCGGCAAACATGTACACCATCCAACCCAAATTACACTGGATAGCCCTAAGGGTTTCGGGCTAGGCTAATGGGCTCTGGGCTAGACGGTTCGGGCCTAAAAAGTCCGAATTTAAACATGCTGCCAATAAAAGGCCCTAACCTTATTTTTTTCGGGTTAAACGAGTCAGCCCGTTGGGCCAAGGGCCATTTAACAGCTCTAATGGCGTGATTGGCTATAAATTGAAACCGATTTTGACCGATGAGATAATGTTTTTTACTATTTTACTCAAAATTCAACACAAAATTAATCAAACACAACTTTTTTTTCTTTTTTGCAATTAAACACAACTCTTTTTAATATTATCAATATAATTAAACAATATCAATCAATCATCTTCACACATCGCATCAACTTTAATTCACTATTCATCAACTCACATGTTTTTAAGTGTACATTTCCAATAACATATTTTCTACTTTTACATCACATCAATTTTAATCATTATATTTTAAATATTTTTTAAATACAAACTTAAAATATCACTCAATTCACTTTTAACTCAAAATTCAATCTAAACCGATTTTGATTTACATACAATCTGAGGGTAAGGGAATGAGAGGGTACTAGTTTTTTGTTTAAAATTTTACTTCCCTTATATGATACTGTGAGTCATGTTATGCGATAAATTGAACAAGTGTAAAATGCTTAGGGCGTGCTTGTTTACAAATAAATCCGCTCAAAATGAGTTTTTAACAAAGGTTAAATTTGAAAAAGTTGGATAGTTAGTTGGATGGAATTTTTATTTTATATTAAATAATATTTAAAATAAAATAATTAAAGTTGATTTAATAAAAGTATGAGAGAAATGATGTGAAGTGATAGTTAGTTAATATTATGTGAGTGGATGAATAATGAATTACATTGATGTGATGTGTAAGAATGATTGGTTTGTATTATTTTGTTATTTTAATAAAATTAAGGATAATGAAGTTGAGTTAAAATTAAGTTAAATTTTAAGTATGAATTGAATGTAAATGAATTATTTTGTAAACAAACATGCTCTTAATTTGTATAAATTATATTAATAGGTGCACCTTTCCTTTTTTGGTACTCAATTAATAAAAACTTCAATGTTGACCAATCTTAGCTTAGAGTGGGATGAGTGACCTCCTAAAAAGATTTTCAATAAACTCAACGCGTGTTGAAAAGATTCATGTTAATGTAGTGTCGACTACCTTTAGGTATGGAGGGCGATATCGGGCGATACATTTCCCCTAAACAAAATCTCAAGAATACCTTCCCTCCCTCTCAATTCCCTCAAACCAAACATAACAAATTCCCTCAAACCAAACATAACATAGAGGACTTTTGGGGGAAATTTTCATGTATCCTACAAAATTCTGAAAATATTGCAAAAATACAATTTATAAACAAATAATTACGTCTCTATCTAATAGATAATATATAACTACATTAATGTGTAAATAGAAATTCACTATTTATGTCTAAAGAACTTGTCAACAAAAATAACGCCCCCACACCTTTAATTACGACCATGATTGCTAATTAAATGGAAACATTAAAATAGGAATCCATTATATATGGAATGGAAATATATCCAAAACATAATCTCGGATTAGTATATGTTGAGTTTATATTTAGTATAAAACAAAGGACAGTATATTTAGTTTAAATTTCACCTTCTTCCTAAAACAAAAGACACGGTTTAATTTCATCATCGAAGTATATGTTGAGTTTAAAAGTCAGTATAAATTTTTATGTCTTTAATGGGCAGTATATATTGAGTTTATATTTAGTATATATTTAGTATATGTTGCAATAATCTCCTAATATACCAAAAAAACAAAACAACAAATTACTCCTTTGTTAGTTTCGACTTCAATAAAAAATTCTCTTACTATACCACACATAAACTATGATATAGTATGGTATTTTTCGTTGATAAAAAACATTATTTGGTTTCGTATTATTTTTTTTGTTTTTGTCGTTTCTTTAACTGTGTTTTATTGACGGTATATGTATTTTTTTCGTAAAAAATTGCAGCTACAACGAAGTATATATTGAGTTTAAAAATAGTATAAATTTTCATGTCTTGAGTGGGCATTATATATAGAGTTTATATTTATTATATATTTAGTATATGAAGTACATATACTGATCATAAACTAATTTGTACAGTGAAACTATAGTACTAGGGCATGCAAAAGATTCATTAGCGGCAAACATCAAACACCTTTCGTGTGTAATCCCAAATACTCACGACCTCAATTGAAGTTCACCATTAACGCATGTCATAGAAAAACCGCAACCTTATCGATAAATAAATAAAAAAAACAGTGTAGCAAAACTAAGAATAACCATAATCTAACAACACAAACAGACCGCGAATGTGGAGGAGATTGGGCTGAGAGAGGAAAATCTGGCGGGCATTGACGCATATGCATCGGATCTTCACCTCCGAGAGCTTGCCCTGTTTTCACCCTTTCATGTCGAGCAGCCGCCGGATTACAATACGACCTCGTCCATCATCCCCTCCCATCGTTAGACTGCATATATTGCCGCAAAGGCCCCTCAGCCGATTCAATTCCTCGTTCATCTATGAATTATCTCTTCCGAGCCTCTCGTTCTCTTCCAGTATCTCTGGCGACCTGAAGTTCTCTGCTTGGCCGGTAGAAGGACGAATTACGGAGGCGGTAGTAATGCCACAAAAGAAAGAGAGAGTTCATTCCTTGATATTAGGGATTAGTTATAAATATCTCTCTTTCTATATTTATTCTCTATAATTAAAAAAATTTAAAAAAATCTAGTATCTGTGCGATTAAGTATGGTGAATTTAGTGGAGCTGCAAATAAAATTGGTTGGTAGGTTGTGCAAATTTCTTGATTTTTGGGGGTTTGCATTAATTGATATAATTATTTTAAGTAAAGACAAAATTATAAGTGAATAATGATATTGTTCTATAAAAATTTGCATTTTTATCATGAATCTTTAGACTTTGACAAATTATATTACTGTTCATTTTTCTTTAAAAAGGGTACACAAAATTAGGAAACCGTCGAGAGCGATTCCACACAGGTGCTGCTTTAGGCTATCAAGGAAGGATTAGATAAATATCACTTTTTGAGCTAAGTTCTTCCCTTTATCGGTAAGGAAGGCCTCCTTGTTGGAGGTACAAGCAGTTACCTACTTCAATGAAAGTCGTAGATATATGCACTCTTAGGCTAATAAGACACACTTATGTCCAAAGCAGCAACGACAAGACACCTTCATCATACGTGTCAATCGGTCAACGTGGCTCATGCAATTGTTTCTTTTGTTTCTTTCTCAAACTCCCCTTTTATGGAGTGTGGATGTTTTTCCAACTTGTTTTAAGTGGCTTATTTGTACTTATGTGCAATCTTATTTGATCAAGTAATGACAAGTTCCTTCTAGAAACACACACACACAAAAACAAAAATAAACAAAAAAATAAGTATAGTAGAAAATAAAACAATGAAGGAAAATACAAATTCTTGTTCGAAGCAAACCTAATCATCAGGTGGGTCAACCGTCATAAATTTTTTTAACAAAAACGCATACTTATACAATGAAATGTCATACTTTCGTTTGATATTTATCTATCTATTTTTTTATGACATTTCAGTTCAATAATATGCATTGAAAAATTTATTTAAAAAAATGTCATCTCCAATAGCAACATATGATTCTCTATTAAAAAAACCACCAATGTGCCTTAATAACATCAACTTTTCATTCGTACGACGACATATAGGACTACATATCGATGCCCGGCCCTCTTTCGCTCCTATTAACTTATGATGAAACAACTAACTAGAGTTTAGGAGTGCTTGTAGCATATATGACCAAAATGTGCTACATTCGCAGCTCCGCAATTGTAACAAAAATTGTATCCACACCTACAACAAATATATCAATTGAATGAGGACGGGCAATATTAGCTTGGAATTGAAATTAAGTTTTATCAAGCAAAACAGTTAAAGTAACTGAAACATATAGACACTTGAAAAGCAAACAATATAATCTATATATATAAGGCAAAAACAAGAGATTGCAGCCTCTTGTTTGTTACCCTATAAAAAAACATGTAACTACACATGATAATTTGTTTGAATTCCATTACACGATGATTGCTCAAGATTCAAACTCTAATGCCTATTCTTATATTTCTCTATTTTGCCCTAGCAATCTTAGCTCTGGTTATTTTTATGGTCATTGAGCAAAATACCTAACATATGAGAACAAAATCCAACCTATATACGAACAAGGCACATGTGTGAGCGCACAAACATACAAGGTTTAGTTCTAATAACCAGAAATGAAAATAATTCCCTACACACATATAAGGTTAAGTTCTAATGATCATAAATGACAGAAAACTTACTGCACACATAGTAATGTTGCCAAAAAGAATTTACACAAAATATGGACAATTATATCATTAACCCGCACTTGAACGTTGAACATTACACAAAACGAAGCTCTCATCTCATGATGATATTCATACTCAAAGGTGCTCATTCCTGCAAATCCCAAATGATCATACAGCAGTAATACATAAATATATACTCACACATAAAGCATGCAATCTCTGAACATTAAATACGAAGAACTTCACATCCACATCAAATTAAAATACCAATCTAATGCTTAAAATCAATAAGCAAAACTAGAAAAAAGTTCGAGATCAAAAACAAACCTGCACGTAATGAAAAAGCAACCGGTAATCTTCTCAACATAAATACTGCACTGTGGACAGCTCATCCACTTTTTGCTCTTAGCAAGACTCATCAGCAATATATCCTCACGGGTCCTCTCCCCCTTCTTCAGCCCCTCGAACTCTTTGCATGTTACACCCGAGTGCCAAGGCACTCTACATTTAGCGCAAAACAGCCGGTTACAATTAGGGCACTCAGATTCAGCAATCACTTCGTTTTTGCGCTTCCTCTCGTCAACTAATAGGGCCGAGCAATCCTTGAACGGGCAATAGAATTTCTCAGTAGCCAAGATCACGGATTCACACAAAGCATCCCCCCACCGGTTGAAAACCTGCTCTGGCAATATTGATCGGCAGTGCTGAGGCTCGAGCGAGCCTTTGCACCCGGAAACAGGGCATTTAATGGAGACGACGTTGTTCTGCAGCTTTGCACCCACGTAATTGCCCACGCAATCGGCACAGTAAGAGTGATGGCAGCCCAAAATGCGAAAACTTTCGCCATTAGGTTTTTCGTCGGCACAGATTTCGCACATGAAAGTCGAGCAGGGGACCGGTTTGGTGTCATCCTCTGTTTGTGGAAGCAAGCACTCGCCTCTGCAGAAAACCTTTTTCAGGAATTTGAGGAAAGAGGGAAGAACATTAACCTCGCCGTCGCCGGAATAAGGGCTTCGGGATAAACCGATATTTTTCTTTTTGAGTTTAGGGCGGAAATTTTCGATCGGGATGGCGTCGGGCTTGTTGGCGGCGGCGGCCGCCGAAATTTTGACGGTTTCCGAAGCTTTAGGCGCCATTTGCAAGGTCGCGACGACTGATCCGCCACTTGATTCTCTTCGGGAAGGTGATGAGGCGAGATTTTATAGGGGGTCTCCATTTTGATAGAGTTGTTCGTTAGTGGATTTTGGGATTTGGTTACGGTGTATCTGCAATTATCCATTGCAGAGTCCTGCGGCTTTGAGAGGTTAATTTAAGGCTATGTTTGGCGTGAGGAGGAAGGAGAGGGAAAGTTTTGTTGGAGGATTTTTTAAAGTGAGTGGTAAAAAGTAAAAACCTAACTAGTTGGAGGAAAAATAAAGTAAAATAAAAACCCTTATCAAAAAATCTCCAAAATCGCAGCTAAATTCGAAAATCACTAAATTCGATCTCCAGAACCGTATCAAAAAATTGAGACAATTAGGTTCGGAGATTTTTATTTTTCGATTCAGCTTGGTATTCGGGACTATCCGAACAGTTCGATATGATTATGTTTGGATCTTCATAGATTCTTATATTTAAAAAAAAAAAAATTGAATGACTGCCCTTTATTTTAAAATCAACTTTAAAAGTAACTCTAAATTTTAATTATTTAATTTTTATATGATCTAAAAAAACCAACAATCATCGATACTCCTTCATATTAAATATTTTATTTTGAAATCAATTTAAGGAGTAACTCTAAATTTTAGTTAAAACTAAATTTGTGCAACTAATATTAAAAATTTAAAATTCAAACAAAATATAATATTGACTTTGCTTGAAAAAATATTTTTAACCTTTCGTACCATTTTAAATATTTTTTTTCTAACAGAAAAAAAAAATCAATTGTAAATCAAGTATTACTAAGTATGAAATTTAAGTGAAGCTTCATTGTTATTACTATATCTTATTTGCATTTTAAAAATTCTCAAATTATATAGGATCAAAGTTGACATAAAATATATTAATAACACACATCTAATGTTATAATTCGTTTCTTTGTTTCGGTACTGTTCGGTTCGCGGTATGTATATTTGTGGTATCTCCAGAACCGTGCCAATTAATTTTTTTGGTTCAGTTTGGTTCGGAGAAAGTCACACTGTCAACAGTTATTTTTCGGTTCGGAGTGATTTCGGTTTAGTTTTTGGAACGGTTCGGAATTCTCCGCGTCCCATGCTCAGCCCTAAACAACTAAAAATATGAGCAGAATAATAATTCTATGTGGCATTTAGACATGTTAAACGGGCTAACCCTAGCGGTTTCAGGCTAAACGGACTGGCCCTAAAAAGCTCGAATTTAAACGGGCTACCAATAAAGGACCTAACCCGAACCCTAGCGTGTCTCGGCTAAACGAGTTATACGAGCTATAATAATAATAATAATAATAATAATAATAATAATAATAATAATAATAATAATAATATAACTACAAAGGCTGGTTAACGATTGTTTCCAACGACTATTTAGTATTTACCACGCTATATATACAATTACACTTCATATATAAACACACATTACAAACACTTAAATAACATTTTTTTCTCAAAATAAATAAATGTTTGAACTATTACTTATAATTATCATTTTACTAATTATTATGTACGCTTTATGAGTTTTTCAATATTGTATCATAGTGCTGAACTTATACTCTATCATTATATTTTATGTGTTATGTCTTTGCATTGTGTGTTTCCCATTAGCCGTTCTGATTGGCTTAAATTTTTTGTTTGATGTAGAATAACAAAATTGTTAATAATTATCTTTCAAGATCATAATAATCCATCACAGTTGATACTTATATATGTGAAGTAGAATAGCAAATTTAATATAAAAGGAATCTTGGGGCATATTCCTTACCTGTTGCAAACATTTACACCGTCCAACCCAATTACACTGGGTAGCCCTAACGGTTTCGGGCCTAAAAAGCCCGAATTTAATTAGACAGACTGTCAATAAAATGCCCTAAAACGGGTCACCCCGTCGGGCCAAGGGTCATTTAACATCTCTACTGGCATTATTAGCTGTAAATTAAAACTGGTTTTGACCAATGGGATATTTTTTTTACTATTTTACTAAAAATTCAACACAAATTTAATCAAACACAACTCTTTTTTTTTTTTTGCAATTAANACTCAAAATCCAATCAAAACCGATTTTGATTTACATAAATCTGAGGGTAAGGGAATGAAGGAGGGGAGTAGTTTTTTGTTTAAAATTTTCCTTCCATTATATTATAATGTGAGTCATGTTATGCGATAAATAGAACAAGTGTAAAAGGCTTAGGGCGTGCTTTTTTACAAATAAATCCGTTCAAAATGAATTTTTAACCAAGGTTAAATTTGAAAAAGTTGGATGGTTAGTTGGATGGGATTTATATTTTATATTAAATAATATTTAAAATAAAATAATTAAGGTTGATTTAATATAAAAGTAGGAGAGAAATGATGTGAAGTGATAGTTAGTTAATATTATGTGAGTGGATAAATAGTGAATTAAAATTGATGTGATGTGTAAGAATGATTGGTTTGTATTATTTAATTATTTTGATAAAACTGATGATAATGGAATTGAATTAAAATTAAGTTAAATTTTGAGTATGAATTGAATTTTTGAATGAATTATTTTGTAAACAAACATGCTCTTAATTTGTATAAATTATATTAATAGGTGTACCTTTCTTTTTTTGGTACTCAATTAATAAAAACTTCAATGTTGACCAAGCTTAGCTTAGAGCATCTCCAATGCTCCACTTTGAATATTAATTAAATTTGAACACATGTCAAATGATGAATGGAATGTAAATCCATGTAATATGAATGTCAAAAGAGAAGACTTTAATTTGGAATGCACATCTCCAATGCATCCCTTTCAAAAGATTAAAATAGGTTAGATTTTTTATGAATTGGCTTTCAAACACTCTTTGGAAAACTAGAAAGTGAGCTTCACACTTTGGATATTTATTGTCTCCATGTCAGCATAAAAGAGTCCATAACATTATGGATTGGAGAGTAATTTTTGTAATCACTTTATAACTTGATGATGTGGCTAACATTTTATTAAGTCAACATCACACATTGGAGATGCTCTTAGTGTCGACTACCTTTAGGTATGGAGGGCGACATCGGGCGATACACCTCCCCTCCAAAAAAAATCTGAACAAACCAGAGAAATTAAATAAATAAAATACCTTCCCTCCCTCTCAATTCCCTCAAACTAAACATAACATAGAGGATTTTTGGGGGAAATTTTCATGTATCCAACAAGATTTTGAAATTATTATAAAAATACAACCCATAAACAAATAATTACGTCTCTACCTAATAGATAATATATAACTACATTAATGTCCAAATACAAATTCACTATATATGCCTAAAGAATTTGTAAAACAAAAATAACGCCCCACACCTATAATTACGGCCATGATTACTAATTAAATGGGAACATTAAAATAGGAATCCATTATATATGGAATAAAAATGTATCCATAACATAATCCCGTATTAGTATATGTTGAGTTTATACTAGTATCTTCACTCGTGCGATGCACGGGATATATTTATTAAAATATTTCAATTAATACATATATATATATCATAAAAAGTAAATGACAAATAAAAACATCATTATTGAATCGGTAGTAAAAATACAATATTGTATGTTATTACAAATTGTGGAAAACTTCTCTATAGAAAACATTTTTAGTAGTTTTTTTTTCTCCATTATCGTCATCACATATTAATACTTTCAATCCCTTTAGATTAGTGACTCAAGAAACAACAACGTACAACTGACCATGACTAAACACGGGTCTTTTCAAGTAAAGTCCGACATGGGATAACGACTGCCCTTGATTCTTATTCATTGTCAATGCGTAAGAAACCACAAGAGGATATTGTCTACGCTGGAACTTGAAGGGTATCCTGAGATTAGATGGAGTTAGGGAAAGTCTTGGTACCAATACCTTATTTCCAGCATTTGATCCGGTTAGAATCTTACATTCAAGCACGTGAGTGGCAAGCTTCGTTATTACCAAGCGTGTTCCATTACAGAGTCCGATCGAATGGTCAATGTTTCTCAACAACATGACAGGAGACCCAACCTTTAAGTGCAATTCATGATTTGGAACACCAGAACATTTTATACTATTTAAGAACTCCAGCATGTGCAAGTCATGCAAGAAATCAACACCACCATCGGATTTGCATGTGTTGTCAGAACTTAAGAAAGTATGACCCTCCGATTGATTCAAAGATGATATATATTCATTGATGGAGTCAACAACATATAATGTTGGAGCTCTTATAGCCCTGTCTTTCAAATAGCTGGGATCATCAATGCAATCTTTAACCATTAGATGAGTGTTTTCCACGATGGTTGCGATGGAGTCATCAGAATTCCGTAACAAAAATTCACCAGGTATGTCAATATCTGCACAACCATATTCGCTTCCTCCACGTGTTCCATCTCCAATTGTCGACTTCCTTTGGGCACAACAGGTAATATTTGCCGAAATTTCCACAAAAAATAATTGTTTTTCCTCCAAACACTTTATGCTTATTTGACGGATCGATAATAGACATTGTTGACTTAAACGTGATATCAAGAGTTTCAAAACAACACTTATTCATCATAGGAGCTTCATCCCAAGTTATAAGGGATGCACAAATAATTAGTCCAGCAAGTGGACTCGATTGATTTATATTACAACTTAAATCCTCATTTGGCTGAAATGGAATGCAAATCTAGATTGTGCACTTCCTCCCCCAGGTAATAAAGAGATGTTATTCCACTTGATGCCATATTAAGAATAATTTTTTCTTTGGATTGAAGCCATGATGATAAAGCTCTCCTCAAGAATGTCTTTCCAGTGAGAAATGTTATAGGTACATAATATTGTACATAGGGATGTACATAACACTCACATTGAGTGGAATCTAACAAAAATAAAAAATCAAGTGGACCCCACTCCATATAAGTGTTATGTACACCTCTATGTACATTTATTATGTACTTGTAGCATTTTCTCTTTCCAGTACCACCGTAACCATAAACAAAAAATAGGCCACCATTGTTACAATGAACATGTTTCATTATGGTTTCATATACAGAATATTGTTCAACAGTCATTGTGGACAGTAGCTTTTCATGTTCATTGCCATAGATCCTATTACGACTATTCTCACGATCATTAATAGTCGAGTAAGGCATAGAATCAAAATCGCCAGACTCCTCCCACGTCTTCGCAATGACTTCTCAACTTCGTATAGAGCCAAATTTTTTATCTCGTATTTGCCAATATTCAATTCTGTAATGTAATTATTTTAACAAGTCAATGCAGTCATATCAAAGATATTATGTAACGAAATTATTTAAAAAATAATTTTTTTTATTCTTCATAAATGAATTGATAACTCTATACCTGGAGAATTCAGTAATTTTCGTTGATTATATAAAATATCATCAGATAGTAGCTCCCAACACATTTCCCATACTTATTATATAGTATCAATTCAAATCATATAATATGCTTTAAAATCTACACTAATATATGTAACTCCTTGGAAATCAATTCAAATCATATAATTTAGAATCGTATATTATATGAAGATGTTGCAAATTGGGGATGGCAAAAGTGCATTATATATGCCACTACTATATTCTATGGAGAATCTTATATTCTATGGAGGTGTTACAGATTGGCTGATGACAAAAGTGCATTATATCCACTTATTACATTTAATATGATTATATTATATATAATCACTAAATATGCATAATATTTAATATAATCATTAAATATGCCACTAATTAATTAATATCGTCTTGCATGTCATAGAAAATCTACACTAATATTTGTAACCCCTCGGAAATCAATTCAAATCATATATTCTATGGAATAATTTAGTACATATCATGGTTAATTGATAATAATATATTTAATTGATAATTAATTATCAAATGATTGGGTGTCTTTATCGTATTTGATGGTATATATATTTTTATATATTATTAACTATATGGTCAAAATCGTTTTAAATATTACATTTATACATTTTCAAAACAGAATGATTTATATACTTACAATTGAAAATTTGTTTTTAGAAATATTGAAATTATCCTCAAAATAATTGATGATATATATTTAACTTGCTATATGATACATNTATTATCTTGGGATTTATGAGTTTATATAATCACATTGAGAATTATATAGATTGAAGTCATATATTCTATGGAATTAATACTACATATATCGATAATTAATCATATATTCAGAATCAATACTACATATATCCATGGTTAATTGATAACTTAAGAATTTTTTTCCCTTGTAAAAAGTATACCATGTAATTTGAATTGTCATCAGTATAGAAACTTCAAAGTATTCAATATGATTAATTGATATTATCGAATATAATAAAATGTAGAAAACAATTATATGTAACAAATACAAATAATTATTTCCAAGCATATGGTCAAGAGTCAAATATACAACATGCTATAATTTCACATGACACTATTGAAATTTGAATCAGGCTATGGAGGTGTTACAGATTGGAAGATGACAAATTTGCATTATATATTCCACTAATTATACTTAATATGCATTATATTTAATATAATCACTAAATATGCCACTAATTGATTAAGATCGTCTTTCAGGTCATAGAACATACTAATCATATATTAAATTGATAACTAATTACCATGAATGATTTAGTAAATCAAAAGGCAAAAATACTAATTATATATATAATTCCAAATATATCATTGATATCATTTCCAAATGAAGCATTTACTACTATTATTAGTAACCATAATTCCATAAACTCCCTCTTTATATATATATATATATATATAGATTTAGTATAAAACAAAGGATAATATATTGAGTTTAAATTTCACCTTCTTCCTAAAAAAAAGGACACGGTTAAATTTCATCATCGAAGTATATGTTGAATTTAAAAGTCGGTACAAATTTTTATGTCTTTAAAGGGCAGTATATATTGAGTTTATATTTAGTATATATTTAGTATATGTTGCAATAATCTCCTAATATACCAAAAAAAAAAAAATAATAACAACAAATTACTCATTTTTTAGTTTCGTCTTCAATAAAAAATTCTCTTAGTATACCACGCATAAACTATGACATAATATGTTATTTTTCGTTGATAAAAAACATTATTTGGTTTCGTATTTTTTTTTTGTTTTTGTCGTTTCTTTAATTGTATTTTATTGACGGTATATGTATTTTTTTCGTAAAAATTGCAGCTACAACGAAGTATATGTTGAGTTTAAAAATAGTATAAATTTACATGTCTTGGATGGGCAGTATATATTGAGTTTATATTTATTATATATTTAGTATATGAAGTACATATATTGATCATAAACTAATTTGTACAATGAAACTATAGTACTAGGGCATGCAAAAGATTCATTAGCGCCAAACATCAAACACCTTTCGTGTGTAATCCCAAATACTCATGACCTCAATTGAAGTTCACCATTAACGCATGCCATCAAACAAACGGAGAAAAATCGCAACTTTATCGATAAATAAATAAAAAAAAAAAGTGTAGCAAAACTATGAATAACCAGAATCTAACAACACTAACAGACCGCAAAGGTGGAGGAGATTGCGCCGAGAGAGGAAAATCTGGCGGGCGTTGATGCATATGTGTTGGATCTCCGCCTCCGAGAGCTTGACCTATTTTCACCCTTTCTCATCGAGCAACCGCCGGATTATGTCGTCTAGTATGACCTCGTCCATCATCCCCTCCCATCATAAGACTGCATATATTGCCGCAAAGGCCCCTTAGCCGATTCAATTCCTCGCTCATCTGCGAATTTTCTCTCCTAAGCCTCTTGTTCTCTTTCGGTATATCCGGCGACCTGAAGTTCTCTGCTTGGCCGGTAGAAGGAAGAATTACGGAGGCGGTAGTAATGTCCCAAAAGAAAAAGAGAGTTAATTCCTTGATATTAGGGATTAGTTATAAATATCTCTCTTTCTATATTTATTCTCCATAATTAATAAAATTAAAAATTTGGTATATGTGCAAATAAGTATGGTGAATTTAGTAGAGCTGCAAATAAGTAATTATTAGGTGTATAAATGTAATATGAAGTGTGTTGGTTGGTAGGTGGTGCAAATTCCTCGATTTTTGAGAGTTTGCATTAATTGATATAACTGGTTTAAGTAAAGACAAAATTATAAGTGAATAATAATATCGTTATATAAAAATTTACATTTTTATCATGAATCTTTAGACTTTGACAAATTATATTACTGTTCATTTTCCTTTAAAAGAGGGTACACAAAATTAAGAAACCGTAGAGAGCGATTCCACATAGGTGCTGCTTCAGGCTATCAAGGACGGCGATTCCACATAGGTGCTGGTTCAGGCTATCAAGGACGGCGATTCCACATAGGTGCTGCTTCAGGCTATCAAGGAAGGATTAGATAAATGCCACTTTTTGAGCTAAGTTCTCTCTTTATTTGTAAGGAAGTGCTCCTTGTTGGAGGTACAAGCAGTTACCTACTTCAAGGAGAGTCGTAGCTATATGCACTCTTAGGCTAATAAGGCACACTTATATCCAAAGCAACAACGACAAGACAACTTCATCATACGTGTCAATCGATCAATGTGGCTCATGCAATTGTTTCTTTCTCAAACTCCCCTTTTTATGGAGGGTGGATGTTTTTCCAACTTGTTTTAAGTGGCTTATTTTATTGATGGGGAATAAGATTTGATCAATTAATGACAAGTTCCTTCTAGAAACAAACATCCAAAAACAAAAACAAATAAAAAAAATAAGTATATTAGAAACTAAAACTATGAAGAAAAATACAAATTCTTGTTCAAGGAATAGATAATCATTAGGTGGGTTGACCGTCATAATTTTTTTAACATAAATGCATACTTATAAGATGAAATGTCATATTTTCGTTTGTTATTTATTTATCTATTTTTTTATGACATTTCAGTTCAATAATATGCATTGAAAAAATTAATTAAAAAATAAGTCATCTCTAATAGCAACATCTGATTCTCTTTCAAAAAAACCACCAATGTGCCTTAATAACAACAAGTTTTCATTCGTAGGACTAAATATCGATGTTCGGCCCTCTTTCACTCCTATTAACTTATGATGAAACAACTAACTCAGAGTTTAGGCGAGCTTGTTGCATATATGACCATCATGTGCTACATTCGCAACTCCGCAATTGTAACAAAAATTGTATCCACACCTACAAGATTAGCTTGGAGTTGAAAATAAGTTTTATCAAGCAAAACAGTTAAAGTAACTGAAACATATAGACACTTGAAAAGCAAACAACATAATGTAGATGTAAAGCAAAAACAAGATATTTCATCCTCTTGTTTGTTACCCTACAAGAAAACATGTAACTACATATGTTAATTTGTTTGAATTCCATTACATGACGATTGTTCAAGATTCAAGATTCAGACTCTAATGCGCATTCTTATATTTCTCTATATAGCAAAATCTTAGCTCTGGTTGTAGTTATGGTCATTGAGCCAAATCCCTAATATAAAGTTAAACATACAAGGTTGAGTTCTAATAATCAGAAATGAAAATAAATTCGTACACACATATAAAGTTAAGTTCTAATGATCATAAATGACAGAAAATTTACTGCAAAACTAGAAAATCAATAAGCAAAACTAGAAAAAAGAAGAAGTTAGAGAACAAAAACAAACCTGCACACAATGAAAAAGCAACCGTAAATCTTCTCGACGTAAATACTGCACTGTGGACACCTCATCCACTTCTTGCTCTTAGCAAGACTCATCAGCAATATATCCTCACGACTCCTCTCCCCCTTCTTCAGCCCCTCGAACTCTTTGCATGTTACACCCGAGTGCCAAGGCACCCTACAATTAGCGCAAAACAGCCGATTACAATTAGGGCACTCAGATTCAGCAATCACTTCGTTTTTGCCCTTCCTCTCGTCAATTAACAGGGCCGAGCAATCCTTGAACGGGCAATAGAATTTCTCAGTAGCCAAGATCACGGCTTCACATAAAGTGTCTCCCCACCGCTCGAAAACCTGCTCGGGCAGTATTGACCGGCAGTGCTGAGGCTCGAGAGAGCCTTTGCACCCGGAAACAGGGCATTTAATGGAGACAACGTTTTCCTGCAGCTTTGTGCCCACGTAATTTCTCACGCAGTCGGCACAGTAAGAGTGATGGCAGCCCAAAATGCGGAAACTTTCTTTCGTAGATTTTTCGTCGGCACAGATTTCGCACATGAACGTCGATGGGGGAACAGGTTTGGTATCATCCTCTGGCTCTGGATACGAGCACTCGCCTTTGAGGAAAACCTTTTTTCGGAATTTGGGGAAAAAATGAAGAACTTTAACCTCGTCGTCGTCGGAACAAGGGTTTCGGGAAAAACCGACCGTTTTCCTTTTGAGTTTTGGGCGGTAATCTTCGACTGAGATGGCGTCGGACTTGGTGGAGCCTTTGTTGGCCGGGAGCGGCGTCGCGTAAATCACCGATATTTCGTCGTCGGCGGCGGCGGCGGCGGCACCGCCCGGGATTTTGATGATCTCCGTAGCTTTCGGCGCCATTTGAAAGGTCGCGAAGGCTGATCCGCCTTTTGATTCACTTGAGGAAGGTGATGGGGCAAGATTTTATACGGAGTTTCCATTTTGAAAGGGCTTTTCGTTTTGAATTTTGGGGATTGGGATACGGCGTATCTGCAATTATCCATTGCCGAGTTTTAGGGCTTTGGGGAGGTTTATGGAAGTTAGGGGGGTTTGCATTAATTGATTGGAAATTTAATGGAATGTTTTAAATATGGTAAATTGACCAAGTATTGTTTAATTTAATTGATAGAGAATCTCCAAACTCTTTTACATTATAAAACTAGTGCATAGCCCGTGCGATGCACGAAAAACAATATTATAATTGTATTATAAATTAAATATATAAATAACATTAATCATGATTTATCCATTGTTTCTAAATTAAACCCGGTTGGACACAATCTGACCGGATGGATCGAGAACCGGTTTATAACCAGTCTAGTTCGCTTGAATAAAATATTTTCTCTCAAATCCGTCAACACCAGTCGGTTGGACTGGTAGGATCGATACGATTTTCTAAATAAATTTTGTTATATTTAAAATTATTTTAAATAAAATTACATATTTAAATAAAATAGAGATTTATAAACTATTTATCAATTAGTTTAAACATTTGAATTTATATAATAAAATGTTTACAAATTAAAATCTGAACAAACCACAAATGGTTTAATAAAATAGCTTGATTATTTCGATGACGGTCCAGTTCTGAAAACCTTATATTTATTGTACATTAATAAATATTATAATAAAATTAATATTATTTAATTCACATAAATATTAATAAAATGATATATAAATATTCATAAATCATTAAACATGTTTTCATAAAAATATTGTTAATACGACTATTTGAAGTTTGGATTTCATCACTTTCATGTAATAAAATATTTTCAATATAAAATTTATATTTAGGCTCAATAATCGATTTTGTGTGGTCGAACTGATATATACTTAGTCACCTGGGACCAACCAAGTTGTATCAAATTTTTTTACGATTTTAAATATCACCTAAAAGTAATTCAATTAATCTGGACAGTACCCTAGTTCAATCACGCGATTGATCTGAAGAATTTTTCTTATTTTCTTTAAATATATTTAATTTTATGAAATAAAAAAATTTTATGATTCATATAATAAATGTCTACACCAAATGATGGTATATTAATATTATAAATTATATATCTAAAGATGAATTAATTATTTGTACTTTATTCATATTAATAAAAAATAAACATAGTAATTTTCAAAAAATTAAGATTAATTGATTGATTATGCAATTTAAAGAATATTTTTAGCGTTCAATATTTTTTTTTAAAGGCACAAATATAAAGACCGAGATTCTAAAACTTTTGTTATATGTTGAATTGAGATTTTATAAATATAGAGACCGAGATTTTAATGTTGTTCGTTGTTTCTAAGAAAAAAAATAAAAATAAAAACATACACACTTAATAACTTTTAGCCGAATTTTTTAAATAATAAAATGAACTAAATCCCGAAATTTAAGGTAACATTTAATGATGTATGATTTTTAAAGAAAAATAATAAAACATACTATTTATAGGTTGAATTAAATTCTGACCTATTTTTTTGCTACTATTTTTGATAAATGGTAATTCTTATTTTATATATATATAGATTTAGATTATTGCTTTATAAGTAAAATCGACTGAATTTGTTGTCTTTTATTTTTTTCGTCGATGGATGAATGGATGGATGTGAATAGTTATATTTGTTGTATATTATTTTTTTTATATGAATGGAATGTTATGTATTAATGTTGTTACGTATATAATGGTAGTGATAGTCTAGATTAACGTTAAACAATGACTAAATTACAAAACATTTAAAAAAAGATAAGTAATTAAGTAAACAATGATAAAATGCTTGTGCGTATAAAATATGTAAAATCCATATTTTGATATGGATTGTATTATGAGGAATCAACAAAGTCCTTTATTTTAGGAGATATCAAATTTCAATTTGTATTTCAAATTAGATTCTCAAATTTGAAGGTTGCCTAAGTCATAAAGGCTTATTCGGATTATTCAGTTTTATGTAAAAAAAAAAAGAAAAAAATATGAATTTAATGGTATTGATATATGGGATTGTATGATGGGAGAATAAACAAATTCCTTTATTTTAGGATATATTCGATTTCAATTTGTATTTCAAAGTAGATTTCTAATTTATAGGCCTCCTAATTCATAAATGATGATTCGTTTTTATGTTAAAAAAAAAAAAAAAGAAAAAAAGAAAAAATCCAAAAATAGTAAGCAATTAATGTTGTCCTAAAATTTTTAGTTACTATTTATGGTAAATAGTAATTCTTATTATATATATATATATATCATATATCATCAATTTCTTAAAGTATGTTATTAACTTACTAGTACAGAGGTGCACAATTTTAAGATTATTTATCCAGGTTTATAATATATACATAAATAAAGAAAAATATATGAGATATATATGGTACGTGACCTGTGCAAGGCACGGGATATATTTGTTTGGAGAATAATATATTATAAAATGAAATATCCAATAAAAGTTTTATAATACGAAAAACAATCAATAAAAAATTAATTTGTTTAAAAAATATAAATAATGTAAATCTCTAAATATATACACGAGTTGTAAAAAAAATAAATCAAATTATAATTTAAAAAATAAAATTAAAAAAATTAAAAAATATACGTTTCATAGTTCGAAATTAAAAAAAAAGAAGTAAAAATGATTTGGGTTACAGTTTTGTCATGCAGAACCAACTTGTTTAAAAACATTCTTATAATTCGAACTTTAAGTCAAATAGTATTTGTATATTCTGCCCCAGTCTTGGAAAAACATTCTTACAATTCGAAATTTAAGCAAATAATTAGACCTATTAACTTGTTTGATTAAGCCAAATCCTTGGTTCATTGTTTTGAATGAAAGACTGATTTNCGAAGACGCTGCTCAATATTTTGAGATTTATAATTTATAATTGGTAGAGTAGATACAATAGCTGTTAATATTTTTATGAAAAAATCGCAATATACGGAAATCGGATTACATCTAGAGGAACAAATCAGAACAAATTTTCCATACAATTGGATAATATTTTTTGTAAAAAGATAAGAATGAATTTTCAATCTACACAAACTTTAAATATTAAATGTATTTACGTAAATCAATAACTATACAGACAACTAAACCCTTCAATTTAGGCTTGACATATGCTTTACTTATGGGTGACGTAAAATAAAGATATAATTTTGACCGATCGAATCTGCCTTTTTTTGGTTTTACATACAATTTTTTGACAAAACCGATTTTATGGGATATATTTTACTAAACCGATGTTATGGGATAAAACAAATAAATAAAATAATTAAATAAAATACTTGATGTAAATAGAATGCATTAATTATCTTTGACTTTTATGCTTACTATTTCTAGTAAATAGGATGATTTTTTATATAAGTATAGATGTATCTTGTCATTTATTATTATAGAAAGAAATAATATAAAAACTCAAAAAAGTAATACTAAATATAGTATTATTTTTTTGAAAAAATAAAACAAAAAATACCACCTAAACATTTTTTGAAAATTTTTGAAAAAAGATTAAATCCAATAATTAAAAGTAAACAATTAGCAGATTTCTTAGAAACGATCTCATTCCATAATCTCTTATTCTAGGGATAAACTCCTCAATGGTCGAGTGACTGAGAGTTCCAATGGCCGGTGGCGAGTTGTGGGCAGTTTTCCAGTTAAGCATGGAGAGGGTGGGTTGTGGGTCGGTCTGAGACGGCTTGAACGGACAGACGTCGGAAGCGAGCTACTGTGTGTGGGCGGCTGGAGATGGATGAACTAGCCATGGATGAAAACTTGAAGCTGCGGGATCCTTGAACGGCTGGACGTACCCCTTGCCGGAGAAGACGACCAGGCGGACGGGTGCTGAGGGTGCACGCGACCAGGCGGTTATGACATGGCCTCAAATGGTGGTTGGACGCGACTGATAGCCGGACAAAGCGTCGGTCGCGGGAAAGCTGTTGGAGGGAGGAGCCACTGGCTGTGAGGATTGAGGATGGTATTCTGCTCTGACGTCTGAAGCTTGGCATGCCAGACATGACAAATCTCCACGACGGGTGAAGCTGCGTGAATTCTCAGGAGAAGACGATCGGAACTCCATGTCCCCATGGTTGAGCACGGCTACGCGAGAAAAAAATGACGGGACTAAAGGGTGTTACTCATTTTTTTCAGCTGGATTTTTGGGAAGATTTTGCTCGCTCCTTTGCCAGAATTTTGGGGAAGAAGACGCGTGATTTTTGGGAAGAACTCGGATAGAATTTTTTGGAGGAAAAACTACCAAATTTTTGGCATGTGACATAACATTTTTTGCTTGGTTGAGTTTTTTACACACTGAGATGGGATAGGAAAATACAATTTAATATGCATTTGGACTATCAGCTTCCTTGTGTGTCTTGAACTGTTATTTATTGGTCATAATAGTTAGAATTATTTATTTATTTCTATTTTTATTGTCATTATTTATTTATATACCTAATACTTATTTATGTGATGTGTATATTAGTTTTTTCATGTTTATATAATTAATTTATTGTTGTTGGTAGCATAGATAATTCATTATGGTCAATATTAAAAAAATTATGACTCCGTATTGGATTTTTTTCTATTATTTTTTGTACATTAACAATCATAAATAATTAATCAATTTGAAAAAACCAAAAGCAATATTTGGAGGTAATATCTTCATCATAAAACTAAATACTCTAATTACAAACTTATATAATAAAATTCATTAATAATTCTATCTAATTATTCATTTTTTTAGGCTTCATACATATTATTTTTGAAAAATCCTACTACACAATTGTATACATATTATTTTTGGAAATCCCTACTACACCATTATGTGTGAAAAATTGTTAATTTTTTGAAAAAAATAACACGACAATTGGTTGTCGAAATTTATCAAATTACAATACTTTTTTTATAGAATGGATAAAATTTTTCAAAGTGTTACGAAAAAATCACACCGGCAATTGAGTGTCCATATTTGTCTGACTACACATTCTTACAGACTGAAAAGAATCCAAATTTATGTGGATTGTTTAATTTTTGTTAGATAAGGAATTTCGGAATATCCCGTCTACATAAATTTTCTACCATAAAATTCAACAATAATAGTGTTTAATTACTATTGTTCTTTTTTT